GGAGTGGGAGACCTGAGCACCCAGAGCCACCGCAGGATAAACCATGGGGCTGCAGAGAGGAGCTTTCTGCTCTAAGAAGGGACCAAGGGTCAGCAGGAGCCGAGGGATGGACAGGGAGGTGTTCTGGGGTGGGGCAGTGTGTGCAAAGATTGGGATCATGCATGAGTATGTGTGTGTGTGTGTGTGTGTGTGTGTGTGTGTGGGTGCTACAGGTAGCTTGGGATGGCTCAGGCACAGAGAGTAGGGTTGGCAGGAAAGGGGAAGCAGGCAGATCATGAAGGTCCCCAGATGTGAGCACACTTGGCATCTTTCCAGATGGAAGCAATGGGATAAGGCAGGGGCACCCCTCTTCCAGCCTGGCTTGTGCTAAGGGCTGGAAGCGGGCGCCTGCTGCATTCCCTGGGCAGGACAGCTCGGTCCTCTGCAACACTCATCTCCCCATCTGCTCCTTTAGGATCCAGGTGACCAAAGTCCCTCTGTTTGCATATGTCCTTCTCCGAAGGGACAGGAACTCCGCTCTGTGGGCTCAGTTCGGAGCCGGGCTCACTGAAGGCCCATGATGAGATTTTCAGACAGGAACTGGTGCGTTGGAGACCTCGCTTCTTCATCAAAGGCAAAGCTCTTTCCTTGTGCCTCTGCCGCTGCACTGGGACTATGCACACAAATAGTCTGCACAGGAAGCTGCCTTGTTTCTGTTCTTTCCCTTCACCGAGTTCAAGGCCCTGTCAAGTTTCCTGAAGTCCATCTGCTGGCTAGTCCATCTGCTAGCACGCACTGGGTTTTTCTCATGGAAGCACCATTACTCCCTACGTGGAGGCACCCCGAGGAGAGAAGCCCTGGCCGTCCTTTCCTGGGCTTCCCTGGGCCTTGCTTCTCCCTGCCCACTTAGGCAGACAGATGATTTCACAATCAAGATGGCAGCTTCCCTTAGCCAGGTGACTTCCCTGTGGTTTGATGCTGTGTGCTGTCACTGTGAGTTTAAGAGACACTCCTAAATCCTTGTCACTGAGGTTTCTGATACCGGGGGAGGGGGGGGCAGATGCTAGGGGAACATGAGGTGGGGGTGAGGAGCAAAGGGTGGAGCAAAGGGTGTCGACTGACTTGTGATTGCGGGGTACAGGGACCTCCCCTGGAAGAGGTCCCCTAAATGCTGGAGAGCGCTCAGCACGGGAAGCCCTGGGAGTACAGCATGGTCTACTGTGGCAAAAGAGCCCATTTGCAAACACTGAGTCTTTGTCTCTTAAATTCATGGACACCTGAATCATAGAGCTTGATGTTAAAGTGCCCAAGCAAACACAGCTCCACGGTGAACCGAGGCAGAACAGAACAGGGAACCAATTTCAAGGGGGAGAGGACCTCAGGGCCCTGGCAAAGAAGGAATCATTGTCTGTGTGGAATGAATGGGGATTCAGATGCTCCAACTTTGGGAAGGGTCACAAAGGAGTTTCTAGTTCAGCTGTTCATGGGAAGCTGAAGACTCATGGGTGGTGTCCTGGCTGGGAGCTCCTCCAGTCACAGCTTGGGGACAAACACTCTCTACTCCCCAGGTCAGATCTGGCCAGCAGCTTATTTTGTTGGACCCATGAGCAAAGAATGGCTGTCATATCTTAAAGTAAGAAGAAAGAATGTGTGGCAGAGACCATACACACCCTGAGAAGCCTAATGTGTCACCTGTCTAGCATTGCAGATGCCAATCTGACTCATGGAAGGAGGGAGGGAGGAAGTTTAGGAAACAGGAGAAGACATTTCTAGGCAGCAAAAGCAGCCAATAAGCTACCCCCCCAAAAAGTTAATGACAGCAGAACCACAAATAAAACTACTAGAGCCAGAGCAGCAGAGCTTGGGGAGCTTTGGAAAGTGCTATTTCCAGGCTGCCTTGATCAGCCAGCCATAATCTCCCAGTGTGAGGCCCAGGCTCCATCCTGTCTAACACCCCAGGACCCCGATCCACCCCAGGACCCCAATCGCAGCTGCATGCAGGAACCTTTGGCTCAGCACAGGTGTTTTCAGCCGAAGATACTCAAGTCACCCAGGCAACTGAAAGCCTTCCAGGGACCACTGACAGGTTTCCTCTGAGGCCAGCGAAGCCAGGGCCTCTGAGTAGTGTCCAGCAAAGAACCTCAGCCCAGGGCCTGCGGAGACAGGAAGTATCAAGGGACAGCCTAGGAGGGCTGACCTCTGAGGGCCTGGGGTGTCATACTAAGGATTTCACTTTCATCCTCAGTTACACAGAGGTCTGTCCTGGGATCTCTATTTAGGGGAGGGGAACATTGAGACTGGCATAGCCCAGACCTTGGTCACTTTCACTCCCCACCCTTGTCCTCCCCGGCTTCCCTGGTCTCCTCCCCATTTCTACAAGAGTCCACCTCCCTGTTTTGTATCATCTGTCTTTTATTTTGCTCTTTAAGCTACTTTTATTTTAGGTTTTTGTATGAGAGAAATGATGTGATATTTAAGCTTGTGCATCTCTTACTTAGCAACACACAGAGACCTCACACATAAAATCCTGGCCAGAGCCCATCCTAGGACGGCAGTGTTGAGGGTCACCCTGGGCAGAGGCTGCTGGGGAACATCCCACTCAGACTCTATAGAGCACAATGGGTAGTGAGACCCCCAGGCTGGCGGAGCTGCAGTGCAGAAGCAGGGCCTGGCCGTAGATGTGATTCCAAGAGTAATAAGTCAACTCCTGGTAAGCTAAGCCTCCGCTCTACATGTCACAGGGACATGTTTGTTAGGCAGCTGGCATCATGCAGATGAATACACCCCTGCCAACATGACTCAGAATTTAGTCTACACGCGTGAAACATTAAGGCACATTTCCCAGGCACATGCTACTGCGGGGGGGGGGGCACTTTTCTTGGCCAGTGGTCTTGGAACTGATTTTTAATTAAGTTTAGGCTAGAGGTTCTGAACTTCTATCACAGTGTCTGGTTGGATTGCATGTGTGCAGGGTGCTTGTTGCATGGAGCAAAGTGTGAGCACCATAGAGCAAAGCGATCACACACCTGCTCACGCATCGGCTTCACAGCTTTAAACACCTGAGTCCACTCCTCTGCCTCCTGCTACTGTCCCCACCCCATTTCACACAGTACCTGCTCAATAAAGGCTTAAAAATCGATGTAAATGGGAGGAAACTTCTGCCTGTGCCTTTGCTAATAAAGAATTTGGGGCCAAGCTTACCAACTCTCTACTGTATGTCACTGGCTAGCATGGACTCTGTAATTTTGCTGATGCCATTGAAGGCCTGGAACCTCTTCCTGGAGCTGTGGAGTACCACAGAATCGGGGCTCTTGTCTCTGTGTTCTTTGCCCCCCGCAAGCCTTCGCTGCCAGGCCAGGCTCCACTCACAGCAGCAGCCAGCTTCTGTCCCAGCCACTCCTCACTGTTTACCGAGTACCAACAGCACGCCATCCTCAGCACAATCCTAGGTTCTCAGGGCGGATCTCACGCCCCAGACCGCATCCTCTCCCAGGTTGGGAGACACATTAAACCTGCTCCCCGTCCCTTCAGCCCACAGGCCACACCCGGCCCACCACAGCTTTTGTAGACTAAGCTTCACGGAAACACAGCCACATCCTCCATTCGCCCACTCCTCCTCCATGGCTGTGCTCACGGGACCAGCGCAGGGGTGAGCAGCTGCGACCGAGACTGTGGCTTGTGGAGCAAACAATACTTGCTGCCTGGCCCTCTGCAGAAACAAACTGACCAGCTCCACATCGAGCAACTGAGCATACAGGAAACAGATAAGCAGTGGACAGGAAGTGAAAGAAATACAAGATACAGTGGGTGTCCATGCATGCCTGTGTGTGTACACATGTGCGTGTGTGGCGGTTAGGAAAAGCCCATTACACCAGGTCCTAAGCCCCTGAAAGCAGAAGCCACCTCTGAATTGTCACCAGTGTCCCCTGGCTGGTGCAGATGCCCTGCAGGGCTAACCAATCTGCTTGTGGAGTCCGCAGTACCAAACCATGTGCTGCAGTTTGTCCTTCTGTTGAGTGGCCAGGAGATACCTTCCCCCTGTCCTCTGCCCCAACCTCCAACCACCCTCTGCCATCTGGGCTGTGCGTGCACACACTGACACTTCCCCATCATTGCATCCTCTCTGCCTCTTCTTTATAACACACCCTTATGCCGCAGATGGGGACAGAGGCTTTTCACCCAGGTTCCTGGAAATCAGTGTCATGGAAGGAGGACCGGAAAATCAGCTCTGCTCATCTTGGCAGAAACTTTGTCTTTCCATCAAAGCAGAAGCACCCAGGACATCCTCCCAGAGAGGACACACAGGCTTTCCCTGCTCCTGCTTGCTCAGCCCACTGTGACCCTCATTGGACCCAGGGATGGCTCAGTCCTGACATTGTTCAGGTTTTATAGATGGGGAAATGCTGGAGGAGAATAGAGGACTTCCGCAGTGGCCATGGCTAGGAAAGGCAGAGCCAGGCTAAGAGTCCTGGGCCAACAGAGGCTTGGAGGATTCTCCACACCTGCACTAAGGGCCCTGGCACTGGCGCTGGGCAGCTCAACCCCCACACACTAAAGCTGTCGTCCACCCGTGACCCTCTCGGCAGCCTCAGATGCATACCCAGTTCTCAGCAGAGCGGAACCACGCTCAGTGGTAGACACAGCTGAGATCCTTCGTGGCAGGATCCTCCCCACTAACCCATGACTCTGCAGACACTGAGTGCACCTTGATTTTCACTGATTCATAACAAATCCGTCTGGATCTGGCCCACCGCTCTCTTGGCGTCAACTGCTATTTTGTTATTTATGCAGGCACCCACTTGCTTTGGACTAGATCCATTCCTACCACTTGTGGGTGGACAGAGTTGGTCCACTGCATTTACATAGGGTCAAAGGACAGGCAGGCAAGGGACACGCCCTTTCCCCTTGCAGGACTTTGCATCTTTCCAGGCCCAGAGCTCCCCACTGTATGAGGGCCATCAATGCCCACCTTGGCAGTGGCACTGAGCCCCTGGCCTCATCGTGAGGCAGGAAGTGCCTACCTGGGCCGCTGCAGAAGGAGGCAATGATGGCCAGGATGCACACGATGCTGAGGTAGGGGACCCAGGGGGCGCGGTCCTGTGAGAGAACAGAGAGTAGCAGTTGAAGAGGCTGGGAACATCCGATGACGGAGTCACTTCCTGTCCCGGGTCCCAGAATGTGGAGAAAATGCAAACACCCAGTCATTTCACAGGCGTGAGGAAGGAAGGGGACAGGACCACAAGAGCTCAGCAGAGTCCTAGAGAGATGGTAAGTGAATAATGCACGGTGACGGGGTGCTTTGTCTGAAGTAAGCAGCCGGGAGGTGTTTTTATAGGCATCGTTGCACTGCTCTGTAAATGTTCCCCTTAGCTGCCGTTCGTATGTCAGCCACCACGTTTATATCCCTGCCATGTGCTTCAGGGAGCCCTTTCAAGACCACTGACACAGGTGACAAATGACAATGAGTTGGTACGTCTCCAAGTGGCTCCCCTCACCCCTGCCCTTTGGTACCGAGGATTGAATCCAGGGTCTTTGCACTGAGCGAATTTGTTTTGTGTTGAGATAGAGCCTCACGCATTCCCTTAGTTATCCAGGCGGGGCTTAAATCTGTGATCCTCCTGCCTCTGCCTCCCAGAGCCCTGGGATTATGGGCTTGTACCACCACACCCAGCTCCCAGTGGCTTTTTCTAAACCCTGAGTTTCAAGGAGCCTTTGAAGCCAGTCTCTAAGGACAACTGGTGATTGGGATGGAATTGTCCCTGCTAGCACATCACCCGGATGCAGGCTCCTTCCCCTCCTTTGTGAAGCGTGTCCCCAGAGCCTGCTGTCTGAAGGACAAGACACTGTCCCTCAGGTGTTACCATCCTGTTATCCTCTTTTTCTAGAAATGTTCACAGTATGAAAGCATTTGACAACGACATGAGCAACTTCCAGAGTCAAGAGTTATTCCTGAAAAATGCCAAGATCGCTCATTGACTGCAGCTTACAGCTGGGAGGCCTGGTTGGAGAAGGCACACGTGCTCAGTTATGCAGAGCTGGGGCGAGGAGGACTCGTGGGACTGGGGCCTGACCCCAGCTCTGCCCTTGCCCAGCTGTGTCACCAGGGCTGCCTATGCATTATGCCTCCCATTTCCAGGGAGGGAGGATGGAGGACATCACTGCCGGGGAGCACACGGATGCAGCATTCCTGTCCTGTGCTGGGATGGGACAGCAGGAAGGGGCATCTTAGGGGTCATCAACAGAGTTCCACAGAGGCTCAGAGAGGGGATGTATCCTACCCAGGGCTACACAGCTCGACAGTGGCAGCGATGGGACTGGAAGCCAGGTCTCCTGTCTCCCAGTGCCCAGATCCATTGCCGAAGCCCCCAGCAGCTGTGAGAGGTGGACTGCAGGGGTTATCTTCAGGCAGGACGAACCCCTGAACCAAAGGCCCCAGGGTGATGAAGCCAGTTCCATGCACGACTCCCTGGAGGCTGGGCAGGGACACAGGCTCACCTGAAGTTTCAGGGTGATAGTGAGGATCCCAAAGAAGAGGGTCATCAGCCCGAAGCCACCAATGAGGAGGGGTCTCCGCCCCAGGCGCTCGATGACCAGGCCCTAGGCAGAGGGAGAAGAGAACAGACAGACAGCATGCCTTATTTGCTTGTCAAAAAGAAAAAAAAAAAGCAAAATCACCCAAGTCTTTTTGGTTAGGGACACCCTCCAAGGGCTGCATGGAGTCCCACACACCTGCGTGGAAAGACCTCGCTAGGCTGAGTATTTCCACGACAACTCTTCCAGGTTCACCCCGATTGCTGCTGTAACCAGTTATCCCTCACCTTCAAAGCCAGCATAGCCTCCCTCTGCCCCCTTCCTCTCTGGCCTTCCTGCCTCCCTCTTTCACTCCAGAGGACCCTCGATTCAGTCGAGGCCCTGAGGTCACCCAGCCCAGCTCCTATCGCAGGGTCCCTGGCCTGAGCGCATCTGGCAGTTCCTCTCTGCTGCCTAAGGTGACCCATGCACGGCTGCCAGGAACAAGGACGTCATTCTGCTGCCCCACACGGACATGGACACCCCATTTTCAGGTGAGCGAACACACTCAGAGATACTAAGCAGTTTCTACCACACAGCCGAGCTGGCAGCAGTGACAGGGATTTGAACTCAGAGTTGCCTGCTGTGTGACCTCGCAGCCTCCAGGTACCAGGGTGGATGCTGCACTGGCCAGCTGTTCCCACAGGCGGCTCTGCCTGCATCTTGGCTCCCTCGAGTGGCAGGAGGGGGCTGGCTGCCCAGCACACTTCTCTTCCCTCCTCCCTGGTCACCCGGCTGCTTCAGCCTCCTCCTCCCAGGAGCTGGCCTCGGGACTGCGCAGGGTAACTGCCTGTGTCCAGATCTTTCCCATTGGATCATCAGGACTTCCCAGTGGCCTCGGCACCGCCTGCTTCCTGGGTGACTGTGAAAGGGAAGAGGGCCTGAGTGCGGGACTCCTATGCTGGCTACAAAGCCCTCAACGCCTACTCACACGGCAGCTGGAGATTCCCACACCCCTGGAAAGCACAACCTCATTCCCCCGGGGTCAGGGTCAGGGCAGCCTCCAGGGGCCGTGAGCTCCTGGGGGTGGGTGACCTCTGTGGGCTTTCTGTGAGGACAAGCGGCTGGCCAAGGGGAGGGCATCTTCAGGGCCTGGACCGATCCTGCACGGAGAAGTCTCTGTTCCTCCCTGGGGGTGTGGGGTCTCCTACCCACCTTGGCAGCACTTCCGGGCAGGTCCTCAGCCTGTCCCCAAGAGGACTTGCCAGCCCCAGGGTGGGGAGGGGCAGGAGGGCCAGGGAGACCAGAGTCAGACAGCTTTGCACCTTCGCTTTCTAATGAGGCCACGGCAGGCTCTTGGGGAGACTGAGCTCCGTGGGGTCCCGTGTGCCTACTGGAGGGGTGCAGGGCTGTAGGAGCCCTGTTATGCTCCCCGCCAGTCTGGCCTAGGGGACTGTGTGCACCTGGGTCTGGGGTCCCTCAGCCACCCAGAGAGCCAAGAGTCCTTGGCCTCAGGTCACGCGATCGGCGGTGGGGACCTGGGTGTGAGGACGAGGGTGGTGGCACCTGCTGTGTGCACAGCATCGCCAGCCCTGCTTCAGTCACCGCAGGTCCATCGCTGGGTTTAACCTTAGCCCATGCCGATGGGGGGGGCACTGTGCCCATCAATACGCGGAAACTGAGGTACAGAGATGTCGATGGGCTCAGTGGGGCCACACAGCCGACAGGAGCAGAGCTGGGATGGGGACCTGGGCAGTGTAGCTCTGCCCTCAGGTCCTGGGCAGAGGTGGCCAACGCCCCACTCTGTGGACATGGCTAGAAAGTTACCCCACTGCGATGTGGGGGGCAGCACTCTCCGCTCGTGTCTGTTCTGTTCTGCACACTTTCTTCCTTCTTTTCTTTCTTTCTTTCTTTTTTTTTTTTTGCATTCTGGGGATTGGACCCTGGGTCTTGGCATTGAATAACACGTCTAGTCCTTTGCTATTTTGAGCCAGGGTCTTGCCAAGTCACTAAGTAGCCAGGCTAGCACTTGAGGTCTTTCTGACTTGGCCTCGCAAAGTACTGGGATTTATGGGCATGTGCCACCTTGCTCGGTGCCTTGGCATTCTTCAATAAAAATTTCTGAATCAATAATGCAGTGGAGCCTGTGATGACATGAAATCACAGAGTGAAAGGGGAGAAGTTGGCATACAGAGCTAGGGTTTCTGTGGGGTGAGATAAAACATGCACCTAGGCCTGGAATAAAGGCAAGCAAAGATTTGCCAGACTTCCTGGGGTAGCAGATTGTGGGTAATTTCTCCTCCACTCCTCTCCATTTTTCTGAATTTTATAAATTTACCCTAACTAGATGGTGTTGATTTCTTGTAACAACAAAATACAAACGTTAAACACAAAACCAAAGGAGCCCTTGCATTTTCCCCATTGTTTACATCTTAGATTGACTTCTGATGAGCAAAGAAAAAATCAATCGTAGAACTTGGGTGGGGTCTCTAATTTGAGGCAGGAAGTTTATGAAACACTGTAACTGTTTCTCTTAAAAAAAAAGATTCAAGTGGTAGGGGGCAAAAAACAAACATGACATCTCTACATCTTTTATAGCTATTAACATATGGAATGGATATTTATTTTTTGAGTCAAGGTCTCACTGTGTAAACCAGGTTGGCCTTGAACTCTTGAGGATCCTCCTGCCTCAGCCTCCTGAGTGCTGGCATTGCAGGCATGGCCACCACGCCCAGCTACTTTGCTTTGTGAACTCTCACACATTTGGGAGATGACAGGACAATGGCAGTGGAAAGCCAGGGAAAGAGATGACACCAGGGGCCTCTCTGAATCCCCAGGTTGGATGTGTCATCTTTCACAGGTTCATGCTGGGTGGCTGTCCCCAGGGGACTGGTCAGGTGGAGGAGCGCATGTCAGTGGGAAGTGGAGGTGGGTGCCGAGACGCCTTCTGGTCAGAGGACACTGGCTGAGCGGGCAGGGTCCCCAGGGCACAGCACACCCTCCCCCCCCCCCCCCGCCATGCTGGGCAGCGGCCTGGGCACCAGGGACTCACAGAGATGACAGCAGCCAGTATCTCGATGCCGCCTGTGCTCAGGGTGATGTAGGGGATGTTTCTTGGTGGGATCCCGGCTTTTTCAAAGATGCTGTTGGTGTAGAACCAGATCTGGACATGGGAAGGAAAACGAGGAATGAAGGCCAGCAAGAGAATGGCCTCTGGTGCCTGCATTTGAGTAAGGGCAGGGAGGCAGCCTCTGAGCTCTGTTGGGAAATCAGAGTCACCAATGGGCCCTTTCAGGTAAGTGTGGTAATGAGACAGACAGGAATGTGGGTGGGGCTCCACAGAAGTCTTCTGTTTAAAAAGGTGCTCTTCCTCATGGAAGCATGCTTCCATTTCCCCCCTTCTTTCTCTCTGCTGTTAGGATGATGGAGAGATGGCTGGAACTTCAGCAGCCTTTTTGGATTATGAAGCAACCTCAGGGTAGCATTGCTGTTAACCCCCATGGAACTTTGTAAGGACCAGAAAAAGACCCTATTCCACAAGACACTTCCTGTCCTCTAGTGGACAGTCACCGTAATAAATCTGCAACCAGTGCGATGTGAATGGCATGATGCATGCCCTGCATAACCTTCCCTGTGGTGTGGGTACCTGTTGTGGCTTCTGCCACTGAGGCCAGATGTAGTTCTAGCTGACACACGCATCCACTGTGGACTTGGGATTTGGAGACCTGAGTCCTTCTCCAGAGGACCTGTGTGGCCTTCTTGGATTCCCTCTCCTCCCTGATCTAAAGAGCACCCATGCTGCCTTCCCTGTCCTGGGTGGTGTTGGGAACCAGGTGGGACTAATAGGCTGTTCCCCAATGACTCCTGGGGTCTCTCTAGCCCAGGCAGCAGCTCAGGCTCAGAGCCTGCAGGATAACAGGAAGTCGCAGGGTCTGAGCCTGAACCCTGAGAAACCTTCTGCAGCCCTGGGAGGTGCAACAGCCCCATTATTATCATCAGCAGAGACCTGCGGTTCACTGCTCACAGCCGGTCAGGCCAGCTTCTGCGGAACTTGGTCTCTGGTTTGTGCAGATGTGTCTTGTGAGCAGCATTTGTTCAGCAGAAATGACCAGTGCACTGGGGGAAGGCACGGGCCCTAGGCCTGTGGACAGCTGGCTGAGTTTTAGTGGAGAGAGGAAGTCTTCCAAGGGCCACGGGCGCACCTGGAGATACTAGTTCAAACCACTGCTCACAGTTCTTGGAGTGCATTCTTGGCAGAAATGGGGTTTAAGGTTCCTGTGAATAAGGAGCATGCTCTTCGCACCTGCCTTCTTTGCAGAAATCTTGGGGTGAGAACATCTCTGCTGTCACATCCACAGTGCAGAGCACTCATTTCTGAAGCTCCCAGGCCTGTGGTGGAAGGGACTGGCATTTCAGAAGCCCTAGGAGCTGCACGCGGTAACACTGGAGGCCACATCGCCACGCCCACCCAGACACTTCCGGGCCCCAGCTGTGCTAATCTGCCAGGTGTTTCTTAAACAATGAAGCTGAGATAGCAGAGTTAACAGGCATGGTGACACTTGGCATGGGTCCAACCTGCAGCCTGTAAAAACTTGGCAGACACAGCTCCTGGTCTCTGCCCTGATCGCATCCGGGCTTCTTTCCATTCCTGAACACCTGTGCCCTGCTGTGTGGGGAGCCACTGTGTGAACTGGAGACTCAGGGGCAGTGACACACGGCCTCTGCCCTGGAGGAGTGAGGGGCTCTGGCCAGGCTGGGAGAAGCTTTGGAGGTTCCAATCCCTGTGCCTCCATCTGGGGCAGGGGTCGCTGTCTGCCTCAAAGACAAGTGAGTCAGGCTCCATGGAGACAGGCTGCCCAGCAGGGAGGAGGCTTCCAGAGACAAGTGACTTTAAGTGACAGGTCTAATTTTAGATAAAATTTGAAAGCTATTTCAAGAACGGGGGTGGGGTGGGGGTGAGAGGTAGGGGAGAGAGGATCAATACAATAACTGAAAAGGAATTTAGAAATAATTGGAAGCCCAACTTTTGTGCAATCACTCAAGAACAAGGAAACCACTAACAGACTCCAGCATTTGGGTAGGAGCCATGGGTAATGTTTGGTTCATACAGTGGTTCTCAGCTGAGGGTGACCTTGCCTCCGGGGATATTTAGTGATACTGGGACACATTTTTGGGTGTCACAGGTGGTGGGGAGCAACTGGCCAAGTGTGTAGAGGCCAAGGATGTGGCTGCGCAGCCTTTAGCTCCAAGACAAAGACTTTCCTGTCCCCACCTGTGGAAGGTCTGGGGCTGGGAAATGCTGGCTTGGTCCCGGGTGTGCGAATGCCACTTGCCACCAGGGGTGTGAGTCTGCCACTGCCACCCTGGGACCTTGTGCAAGCCACAGCTTCTTTGTGTGGAAAATGAGGGCAGCACTGCTGACCCTGCAGGACTGCTCAGAGCAGGAGCCAGGTGGCACATGGGACGGTGGCTGGCAGTATTGTCAGACATCTCAAAGGACGGACCGTGTCTCTGAGTAGTTTCTGGTAAAACCAAGGCGCAGAGCAAGTCCTCAAGGACAGTGTTGGTAGCTGCAGTCGGGTTAACTTGCTCCTTGGCCTCAGGGATTTGGAGTAAAGGGCAGCAGTACAGGGAGAGACAGCCAGGTCGGGTGCAGAGGCTGGCAGGGGCCACCAACCTGCTGAACATAAAGCACAGAGCAAGTGGGACTTGTCCCGGAGGTTGCCTGGGAGTAAACTGGGGACAGTTCAAGGGACATGCATGGGGATGCTGTGAGGAATGACAGGATTCTCTGTGCTCCAGCCTTCGGCATTTGGACATTAGAATCAAACAGCTGGTCTAACTACTTTTCTGTTATTCCCAGCTCTGCGGTTCTGAAAAAGAGTCTGGTGTCTGTTCCTAACGGCGGGGCTGTGGGCAGCTCCTGGGTCGGGCTTATGCAGGTTCCTCAGTGACTTGATTATCACTGTGGCCCAAATTACTGGGCCAGGTACAGGAGCTCCTGGCCTGGCTCCTTCCTGCCAGCTCGTGGTCACACGGGGACCGGAAGCTGGCCTTCTGACTCTGTTCTGTGCTCTCTGCAGCTGACATGTACCAGGGCTGGCTGCAGAAGTGAAGATGCAGGACTTGCAGTTTTTCCCTGATGCAACTTATTAGGTCTTGCAGGGTGGGAAAATGGGGGCCCTCAGTCCAGCTTGTACAGCACTCCCAGCACAAACGCCACGCCTTTCCATCGCCACGTCTTAGTAAGCACAGACTCAGTGCGTTCGTTGAGACTCCACAGCTGAGTCTTAGGAAATGATTCCTCACCGTCTCCACTCAGGGGAGGAGCAGGGCCAGCCAGCTGGCTGCTCCTGAGGTAGGAGATGGAGCAAGGAGGAGTAAATCATAGAAGCTCATGAGATGAGAACCAAGAAACCAGGCAGAGCATGGAAGACTATGTCACAATATCCGAAACCAGCAGATGAAGGCCACCATGACCTCCCCACGGTCACCATCCCGAAGACATCTATTCCATTTTTCAGGAGCAACAGTAGTGACGATGACCCTATGGCATCTGCCTCCTTATTTCTCACATTCAGGAATTCTACTTCTGGAGCCCTGGAGATGGAAGAAATGGCCACGTCCAGCAGAGGGCTGGGACTCCCTGGAGAGAGGTCCTCAGCGCAGGAACCAGGAAACTTAACAGAAAACATTGACGTTTTCTCAAGGCAAATGGGCAAGTCGAAGCCAGCCTAGCCAAGATCACTATGATGGTTTATCATCCTTTCAACTCGATCAGCTTGAGCGGACTGGGGGATCAGGAAAGCATACTTCGGGGTGTGTCTGGTGGGTACTAGAGCCTTGATCTTGGGGCTCTATCATATCTCTGGTCTTTCCCTCCTGGGCTCCCACCCTCCTCTGCTTCCCAGATGTCAAGAACTGAATGGCTTTCCTCTACCCTGCCATTTCTGCCTTGAGCCAGTGGACCATGGACTGACCCCTCTGAAATCATGAGCTGGCATAGACCTCTTACCAAAATAATCTCATGGTCTCACATGTATGCCTTCCTACGTGCTCATTTCAGTGACATATGAATTTTAAGCATTTCAAGGAATAAATAATGAGAATGGTAGACAGTGTCTCTGAAGGTATAAATGTCTCATGCCAGCTGCCCAACACTTGGTGTGGGTTTCCTATGTGGATGGCACTGTTCCACTCTACAGATGAGGAGACAAAGAATCTGTCACATTCACGGCTGCTCAGTGGCATGGAGCTAGTGGAGACTGGCAGAGCCGAGACTGAAACTGGGGCACATAGGGGCCAACACTGCTCCCCTCTAAGTCCTCCAGCCCATAGCTTGATACTCACTGCATTGAGGCCGCAGAGCTGGTAGCAGGCCATGGTGATGACCACAGTGATGACCTGGCAGCGGACGAAGGGAGCCCTCAGCAGCTCCAGGACGGACACCAGGTGGATGTTCCTCTGCACACGGCTCTCAGCCAGGACCTCCTCCATCACTCGGGAGACATCTGCTTTGCCCAGGAACTTCTGAAAGGCTGTAATCAGGGCACAGGTAGAATGCCTGCCATATCTCAGACTGGCACTGAAGGGACACAGCCTCCACCTTGTCGGGGGCCTTTGAAACCTTGGAATCCAAAGTGCCTGCCTGAGGTCACCCAGCTGGCTGGGAGAGCACCCGTTCTCCTCATCACCTCCATGGCAAAGCGGAGCATGCCTGGGGTTCAGACCATCTCTACCAGGGACAACCGGGTTCCTAGTTGTCCTTTGTGACCACTGCTGCCTCCATGGCTGCTGTAACAATTGCACATGGTATCAGGCACCTTAACCCCAGAATCAGGGCATCCCCTACGCAGGGAGAACTCACTGGGCCCCTGTCTGCCTGGGCCCCTGCTCCTGCTCACTGGGGCATCCAGAGAGAGCTGCCATCCTGCTTGGCCAGGATCCAAGTGGACGCCCTGGAGTCGGATCTGTCACAGGAAGGAAGATTGAACCTAATGACCTTCCAGGTCTTTCCATGTGTCCCCCAGGAACAAAGATACCATGAACAGCAATCATTTTAAAGACTGTCTCTTCCCAGGGCTCAAACTCCTCCTCGAGATTTACACTATTTCCAGAATACTGCAGATTTCCAGCCTCTGAAACACCTGCGTATTTGCTGAGACCTTAATTATATCAACCTCCCTCCCTGAGGACTGCTGGGTGGACTGCTGATTAGACCCTAGATCATTATCAGCTTAGAGCAAGGATTTAAACATTCTGCTCTCTGACATTCTTCTTCCTATGGGGGAAAGAGAGCCATCTCCAGGGTTCCGGGGGACAGTCCAGCCCAGACCCAGCAGGTAGCGTCCTTAATGACTGCTCCACACCACAGGGCAAGTAAAATTGTTCATTTTAAGTAGGAAAAAAAAAAGCTGTTACACTTGTTCCTGACTCACACTAAGGCTTTGGAAAGGTCTATCCTTCTACTGAAAATTGTAGAATGTCTCTTTGCAACCTATGAGCTCATGCTTTTCCAGCATGGCCGGAGGCTCAGGGAGAGCAGTAGCTGGGTGAGTAACATCTCTGCCCATGCATGGAATCTGTTTTTCTAACATTGCTTCAAACTTCAAAATGCAATGTCTCTGTGATAACACAGTTCCAGAATTGGGAGGGCACAGGAAAATATTTCTCCCCTCCCTCACGTGTGTGTTCCCGTGATAAAGCAAGGCGAGCCTGAGAGCCTTTTCCTCCCCCTTTTCACTTTATTTGAAGGAGGCTCTCAGCCAAGCTCAGGGTTCAGCCCTTCGCAGAGCTGCCTGGAGGTAGTCTTTCTTCATCTTAAAATTTCTAATTGTCTTCGACAGGCGCTACCAACCTGCAGGCCACAGGCTGCCTGGCCTCCTTTTATAAATGTTATAATGAAAACATTTCAGATGGAGAAAGCTTTGCTGCCTGTCCACATGAACTATATTCTGTACATCGTATGTGGCCCAGGACAGTTCTCTTCCCGCAGTACAGTCCAGGCAAGCAGAGAGTTGGACTCCCACATTTTCTTTCAAACTCTGATTGCTTATAGAAGGGCAGGCTTCCTACCAGCAGATCCCTGGGCACACAGCAGATCACCTCTGCTTGCTTTACCCTGCCTCTGGTTTGGACACCCAGGTTGTAACACATCCACTGAATACTGAGACTGCCTTGGCCGGATGGCTCCGCTGTGGGGTCCTGTGCACTGGGTCATGTTTATCAGTGTTGCTGGCCTCTGCCCACTCAGTGCCAGTAGCTCTCAGTTGTGACATTCAAAAGAGACTACCAAAAATCTCCTCTCCAGAGGTGGCCCCCTGTAGCCTCCCCCAAGCACTGCCCACAGCACCCTCAGCACCCTCCCCAGCACCCTCCCGGCACCCCTGTAACCTCCCCCAGCATCACGCTTCCTGGCTTCAGCCTCTCCCTCTGCCCCTCTGTTAGGGTACAGCCTGTCTCCGCAGATGCAGGCCCAGGGCCACGGTCCACCTGCTGACTGCCAGGTCAGTCCCTTCCCCACGGCTCCCTCCCTCCCTCCTGGGGGTTGGGCCCACTTTCTCATGGCCTCACTCACAGTGGACTCTCAGTATACATTTACTGAGCAGCTACTATGTTCCGGGCATGGCCTACACAGGAGCTGAAGGAGCAGGAGCTACAGATCTTGCATAGATGTTGTCCCTGCGCCAGCATTTCCTAGGTGCACTCTGGGGGTGTCTCCGTGGAAATCAGAAACACAGACAGAACCCAGGATATTAGTCACAGGTCTGATTCTCCCTGGGCTACTCTCTCTGACCAATCTCTCTCCAGCCTCAGAAGGCTTGTGGGTGAGGTAGGGCCGAAGTCACCCACATCTCCGTGGCAGGATGATTGCTCCTGGGTGGAGCTTGGCACGCTCTGCCATGTATGCAACACCAAGGCTGCTGCCTACAGGGACTGGGAGCCTCACAAGGAGACTTGGCAGAATAAAGCCAATTCGGTGCCAAACGTGAGATGGGGAGATGATTTGGGGGTGCATCTGAGGGTCGGGAAGGGACAGGGTGGGAGACTTTAAGTTAAGGCCTCTGCACACAGCTGACCCAGGCTGCTGGTGGAGCCCAGCCTGTGGCATTCTGGCTGCGACACCTTGGATGGGTGGGTCATCCTCCCTCTGTCCTGTGCCCTCAGGTCTGGGACAGGGACGGCACTGGAACAGTGATGTCTGGAGATGTCAGCCATCACTGAGGCCCATTGGAATCCTCTAAAGGTCCAAGAAAGCCCAGGCCTTCCTGGAGTGCAGCAGTGAAGATGGGTGCTTTAGGCACGCACTAGCTAGGCCCCGTGGACATCACAGGCCATGACCCCCCAGGACAGTGGGATGGCTGTGGGGTCTGGAAGGAATGGAAGCACCTGGCTGCACGGTTCTCCCTGCACAGACCGGGCTTAAATGATGGACATTTCCTCTCACTCTGTTCCTGATGCTGGAAGCCCAAGACCAGGGTGCTTTCTGGCGGGGCCACTTCCTAGTGTGTAGATGGCTGCTTCCTGCTGTGTCTTCATGTAGGGGCAGATTAGAGGGGCACACACACACACACACACACACACACAAAGAGCCCACAGGGCAAGACTCATCTGGTGACACTGTAGTCATCACATGCTTTTTAGGTGCTGTGTGCTAGAGGAATGTTACCCTCCCATATGCATGAGGCTCCTGGTGAAAATGTTACTCACACTGACTGCATGTCCGTCATCCCCAACTGAACTGTCCCCTTCCCGGAAACAAAGGCTAAGGCCCCGGTGGCCTACATGTCGATCAGTAGAACAGGTCTTTTTAGAAAACCCTTATAAGCATGAATCAGTCCCAGACCCCGTGGGCGCCCACTCGTGTCCCCCATCTTGCAGTTCCTCTGCCGTCAGGACAGCTTTTCTGCTGCTTCTGCATTTGCCACACCTTCCGTGCACCCTCAGTGCAGACCCTACCGGTCTTGATGTCCCTACTTTCCGCTGTGAGCCCCACTTCTTCATTCTTCATGAAGTGAGGGCAGGGACCAGACAGAGGTGTAGGGTCATTATGGGGGACCGCTCATCTCCCAGCCAGCTGCCCACTGGACGCAGCACTCACTGGGCCCAGAGAACTCTGCTGTTTCTTGCTTCTTAGAAAGCACCAGCGCTTCAGCCCCAGCCTGAAGAGCTCAGCCAACCTCATCTCCAGTGTGTCCCACAGCTTAGGGTTTCTGTAGGAACTCAGTGGGACACAACTCGGCCCCAACACTTCCCTGGAGTTCCTGCCCTTCACTGCCATGGATCGCTGCTCCCTGCCTTCCACCAGCCCAAGCCTGGGCTTTACTGCCAATCCTGGGAGTAAAGAAAGGTGGGGGTTTTGACGGGACCAACTCTCAGCTCTGAAGTTTTCCAGATCCATGGCCTGGCTGACTGTGCCTGGTAGGCTCAGAAAGAGAATCAGGAGTTGACCATGGTCAGATTTGGGTCCTCAAACCCCAGCAAAATTCTGAATCCTGCAGGCACAATGTGCAGAGGTAGAAGGGAAGGAGGAAGGAGACAGACAGGCCACCGTGGGGGGTCCTGACTGTAGCCTGTGGCCACATAGTGAAACAACACCTGCAAAGCCCACCCGCACCTATGACCTGATCGGGCGCTGTGGTGGCAGAGAGGTCGGCTCAGGACCACGTTGCCTGGGTTTAAACCCTGGCACCATCACCTGCTCCTCAGCATGATGCTGGGAGAGTTCTGAATCTTTCTGTGCCTCAGTGTCCTCCTCTGTAAATGGGTGTGATCACACTGGGGCCATCAGTGTTATAACTGTCATTATACTCAGTGTCATGAGGACACCAGCTGGCTTTGACTGATGAAGAACTGCACCAACCATGACCATAGGTACCCCCATCCTCCCTCTTCTCCATTCTCCTGTCCTCCCTGCCTCCTCTCTGCGGCTGGACCATAGATGGAAAATGCTACATCTTTCTGTTGGGAGTTGGATTGTGTCCCCAGTGTGTGTGGGACCCTGGTACCTGTGGATGTAGTCTTTGGTATGAGTCTGCTAGGATGGTGAGGATGGAGTTCAGGTGAGTCCATGTGGGAGGACCAGGGACCCCGGCCCTATGACTCTGGTCCCTATAGGTAGGGGAGTGAGACAGAATCACAGACAGATGTGGCCTTGTCATGATGAGGTGGGGTCAGGGTGATACTGGGAGCCCAAGATGCCCAGGGCAATGGTTTACAGGCAGCACATCCCCAAAAGCCCTAATACTGGGGTTACAGCTTTATCATATGTGACCATCAGCTGGACCTGGAGCTTTTGCAGGGAGGGGGCATAGGAGACCTCAGCTTGAAGAGGAGCCCCCAGGGCACCCTTCATCTCCCTTCACCTGGGCAGAGAATAATACACTGAAGTTCGTCTGTGCAATTTACTGGTTGGTGAACTCGGGAACGGAAGTGTGTGGTTTGAATGGAATTAACCCTGAAACACCCACCATTGGTTTATAAAGAATCCTCCCAGAGGAACCACAGATTAGAGAAAAAGCTAACACACAAAACAGGGCAGTCACAGACTGCCACTCTGCCCCTGGGACAAGCCCACCCTCAATGGCCAGTGACAGGGTACTGCCCAGCGGAGATTTTAAAATGTAAGACAGAATTAATCGATCGCTTTGACATCAAGATGACCTTTTTAACAGGAGCGAGCTTTTCAAGAGTGCTGTGTGGAAATCCTTCTATCACCATCAGGTTTGGTGGTGCACTGAGGTCATGGCCAAAAAATCTCATATTTGCCTATTCAAATAAAGCCTCCCAAACTGTTCTAAAAGTATTCCCGCCCAGGTGAATCATTTCAGTGGGTTTTGCTAAATGGTGGTTAAAATACAGAAAGGCAACACCTTCTACTAACTTTTTCGGAACAACTGACTAACACTGGGGAGATGGAAGTTACTGGCTACATTCAGCTCCAGCCTGAAGGTCTCCCTGGGGCTGCAGAACCAATGCGGAAAGCGCTGAGCCCGGCAGTCTTGTTACACCTCATACACGATGCTCAGTGACACTCATTTCCGAGCTGTCACCTTCAAGGCCAAAGCTTAAACCACCTGACCTTACCCGCTTCTGCAGTGTCAATGCCTTTTTTTGGGGGGAGGTGTTTTTGAGACAGGGTATGTAGTCCAGGCTGGCCTCAGCCTCCCAAGTACTGGGATGACAGGTGTGCACCACCACACCTGTAATCTGTTCCCCTCCAGGTGAGCAGGGGAGAAGACACAAGGACTGGTCTGCAGTCAGCAGTAGGGGTCCTGTGGGTGGAGCCTCAGGTGAGGCCTGGGTCGGCAGTTGCAGGTATAGGAGGCTGAGACAGTGTGAATCACTTCCTGGGGGGGTGGGGACCAGGGACGGTTCTACTGGACTTCTGCACTTCTGTGGGGAATCTTCCCCAGTGATCCCAGAATGGAAGTCGGGGTAACATTTTGTCAGTCATTTTTCAATCCAGGAAACTGGAGCTGCCGGAGGTGAGTTCCAGCACACCAGCATCAGCCCAGGGAGAGTTTAAGATCATTGCTCCCAGTGGTTAAGTGCCTGCCCAGCTTCCAGCCACACTAGACTGGGCTTTGCAGGTTTTGCAGGCCTAGCTGGGCCATGCCCAGCGAACTTCTTCAATCAGGGGAGCTGAGGGCACGTGAAGTTAATTCTAGCGCATCAGTGCTTGCCTAGGGAGAGCTTTGGACCTTCATCCACAGTGGTTGGGAGCCCACCCAGCTTCCTGGAACACCAGAGGTGGCATGGGAGGTCCTGTGGGCCTGACTGGACCATGCTCAGCAACCTCCATTCAATCCCAGGGGCCGAGGGTGTAGGAGGTGATTTCCAGCAGGCCCAGGGAAAGCTTTGGAACATCACTCGAAACATAGAAATATAGGAAAATGACAAGACGAAAGACCAAAATGCAATCTCAAACTTCCATCCCATCCCAAGAAAGCCTAGGAGCCACATACATAGAAGAAAATATAAGCCACACACCTGAAATATCTGAAATGATAGCAACTGAAGTAAAGAAGCAACTCCGGGAAGCTTTAAAATAGTTCAAATTAGAAATACTCTCTCCCAGGTAAGAAAACATTTTGCCAGCCCCCATCCTCAAGGGCACTAACACTGCACCGCACAGGGCTGGGGGACATCTGGGCTGCGGAGAGCACCCAGGGTGTGGAGAGGCACGGTGCGGTGTGGGGAACCTGGCTCCCCTCTGTGTTTGTACTGACTGTCCAGGGGACAGCAGAGGAGGCTGTGACCGTCACTCAGCCATACGTGGATGAGCTCAGATTAGGCACCCCTGAGGTGTCCCCGCTGATGCCCAGTTATGACCCTGGAGACTGGGACTTAAACTGAGGTGCTCATTTCTTATGGTCTGGGGGCCAGAAGTGTGGGACATGGGATGGGTGCTGGTAGAGTCGGGTGCTGGGTGGTGTCTCTCCATGGTGGCAGGCGGCAGCCTGTGCACTGCGTCTGAGTACTGACGGGAAGAGCATATGCTGGGCTCTTCCTCTTCTCTGGTAAACAAATCCCACTGTGAAGCCCCACGCCACGGCATCGGCCAAACCTGATCACCTCCAGCATCCTCGGGGCAGGGCTGCAGCCCCGGAGGCAGAGGGGAGTCCACGCCGGGGGCTTAGAAACAGAGCTTCCAGCCCCTGAACTACTGTCCTCCCTCTTCCTCCTTCCCCTTTTCCCTTCCTCGCTCCTTCATTCCCCATCCTTTGTTCCCGGAAGACGCCACCAGCCCTGACTTCTCATCACAGTGAGGCGAGGGTCCAGCTGTGATTCCAGCACTGGGTTCCTATATCTGGGAAGCATGGGAGGTCTGGAGAGGGGTATCTGCCTTTGGCCACTTTTCCACCTGGGCCTGCAGGAACTGTGTTTCCTTCCCACCCATTTTTAGGTGGAGGCCAGGAATCTGTATCTGGAGCCGAAGGCCACTCATGAAGGTGCAGGACGCTGCACACAGTGTAGGTCAGGAAGTGCTGCTTCAGGGAAGGGCAGCCACCAGCGGCAGCCTCTGTCCTGGCCTGGTCCTATCAGCTCAGGCAGCTATGGTGGGGCTTGGGATGTTTCTCGGCAGAGGCTGGGTCTTACCTAGGGCCTGGTATACAGCAGCTGTTGAGACCACACCGGGCAAGGGTGACTGAGCCCTGCTCATCATTGCTGATGTTTAGTGTGGATCAGGTGCTCAGGGTGGAGGGGCTGAAGGTGGGGTGACTGCCTTTGTGTCCCTGTCTGCCTGCAGGTGGGAACTGTGGAGCAGGATTAGCTTGGCCTGAGGAAGAACTGCTTGGAGGAAGAACTCAAGGATGGAACTGGGGTTTGGAGTAATGAACTCCCCATCACTGGCAGCATCCAAGGAGGACCTTGATGATCACCCTAGCACTGAGCACTAAGATAGGTGGACATGGATCTCTAAGGCAAACCAGCCTTCTAGAAGTGTGCAGATGCTACAGAGTGCCGAGAGGACCAGCCTGACATGGTACAGAGCAGCAATAATTAATATTAATAAATTGGCCAGGTCAAGAGGAATGGCATTTCTGTGGAGGATTCGCTTTCTTCTAACAAGTCCAGCTGCCTTCTGGAGTCAGGTCTCCTGGGCTCTTTCTCAGCCACCAGCTTTTCCCCAGAGTCTCTCTTCTGATTAGCACCAGAAGCCCCGCTTTGGCATGGTTCTCCCCATCTGACCACACAGAAGTCACAAAGCAACCACATCTTCCCCTCTCCAGTGTCCCCCTGTGCATAACTAGGGGAGCAGGAAAATCACCTTGCGGCCCCAGCCCTTTTGTAGCTCACTGCTGGTGAAGATGGACTAAGGATTCCAGGAAGAGAGGGACTCCCATCCAAATGCCACCTCAAATAGCAGGTGAGTGTCGGTGTATACGGCCACTGTACTGACAGAAGGGCCATAGTGGCCACCACATCTTCAAACCTCTACACACCTTTATAAAAACCATAGCCTTGGGCAAGTGAGGTCTCCCAACCCCGGAAGCTTCAGCTTCTACCTTCACAAAATGAAAGTGACGACACTGTCTTCTGCCTTCACTTTAAGGAGAGGTTCACGAGAAAATGGACCTGAGCCATAACCTGCTAGAAAGATGCGAACAGAGGCGACACTTGCAGGCCACTGTACCATTTGTTGACTTAGAAAACACTCAGGTGGCAGGAGTTCTAAAAGATGCCGCACAGATTATATATGCTTCCTTATGGTTTTTCCTGGTTATGAGCACTAGTGAAATGTAGATTACAAGACGTGACGGGGGAAAAAGCGCCTAGAGTCCTCAAGAAAAATGACAGCAGATAATATTTCACATCTCAAGTACTTTGTCTAATTTATACCTCTCAGCAGGTGGGCAAGGGAGGTTTATGTCATTTCCTTTTGGCAGACCAGGGAGTGCTGGTTCAGGAAGGTTAAAAGAATCATCCAACACGAGGTGGCCGAGCTGGTACTTAACCACGGTGCTGCTGGCTGAGAGACAGGAAAGGGATTATGCCTTTGACGCTGTGTATCTCCAGGGCAAAAGCGTTTTGCTCTTTCAGGCCTCTGTTGAATGCTTCTGATTCCTCAAAGTCCTGCTCTGAGCTGGACCCAGCTCTCTAGCACAGGGGCTGAAGGGACCCCCGAGACTGCCCCCAGCCCATTGCGAGCTTCGCTTTCCTCTTCTGACCATGAGCGCACTTCTGCCTCCTCAGTGAGGCTTGCTTGGGAATGTCCTGGGTCACTAGGTGGACACCCTCAGCTTGGCGCCCGTGTGACAACAGCCTCTTCTGCGCTCGTCTCCTTTGCTCTGCTTGCAAACACAGGAGAGGTGGGCACAGAGAGAAGGAGAGAAGGCGGCAGACACACAACTAAGCTAGGAAGAAATCTGAGTTCCTCCTCGTAGGGGGTGGCAGCAAGAGAGAACTGGCCACAGAGAGCGCCTGGCTGACTGTCCCAGGCTCACCAGTGTCCCTCCGCTCCCTCTCTGTTCCACAATAGCAGAGCTGTTGGGAAGGTGAAAAGAGAAAGTGTCCCAGGGCACCCAGCACTGCCCACAGAGAAGAATCAGGGTGACTGACGTCCCCTCCCGTGTCCTTTGGGCCAGTCTCAGGCTGGCCCGGCCCCACACACAGGCTGCAGCTGGGTGACAAAAAGAGGTCCCTTACCTTTCACAGCTCCCGCCTCATCATGTTTCTCAAAGAGCAGGTATTGTGGGCTGTCGGGGAGAAAGGGAAGGCTCACTAGCTGGATGAGGGCAGGGACCATGATCATCCCAAACAGGTATGGCCAGGTGCTCTCCTGCAGGAGAAGAAAATGGGTCACTTGGGAGCCTGGGCCCTGGGCAAAGCAGTTGTGACTCTGGCAGGCTTCCTGGGCAGCATGACCTCAGGAGCCAGGGAGGCCACATCCTGGGTACAGTGCATTTCCCATGCACAAGTGAGTGCCCATGAGACAGTGACCTGCGCGCCACCACTTTGGAAAGCAGGTGGCTGAGGGTGGTCATCACTTAGGGGGTGCCAGGGTGGGCTGACACTTCAGACTGTGGGCCACTGTGGTGAGCCTGAGGGCGTCCTCGGAGCTCTTCTCTCCTCAGCACGGCCATGTGCTGCCATTGGCAGGGCTCCCACAATGCCTCGATGGTGTGACCTGCACCCAGCAGGTGTGCAGAGGGGAAGCCTGTGCCATCATCGTGCTGCCTGTGAAGCCACGGCACAAGGCCAGCTCACCACAAGAAAAGTGGCCAGGGCTTTCCCAGGGCACAGAACTGGGGTGCAGGCTGACCTCCGGGAAGGAGGGCATCTCTTGTGCTGGCATACTGTGGGGCCAACAGGCACCACTCAAGGAGCTCTGTGCTCGTCTCTTTAGCTTTGCTTGCAAACACAGGAGAGGTGACAAGCAGCGAATGGTGACAGTCACCTGCGATGCCACAGAACCGCAGGGTGGAGTCCAGTACCGATGTCACTGAGGTGGTCTTCCTTTTCTGCCGGTTTCTTACCCAGGTTACAAGTAAGCCCTCACTGTGCACCCGGGAGAGGAGGAATCGACCTCTAGGCAGTTCCCGGGGGAAGCGGGTTGAAAGCCAGCGGTCCCCCCAAGTTCCTGGTATGTCCCTGAGAGACCCTGTGCGAGTTCCAGGACCCTGCCAGGGTGGAGCTACAGGGACCCAGAAGTGCAGAGCAGCATGAGAAGGGGCCTGCCAAGGGTGGAGGCCAGGGCTGGTCCAGTCCTGGTCTCCTCGGTGCTTTTAGTCCACTTCCTTTCTGAACCTAGAGCCGATGTCTGTTCACAAAACACTGTCAGTTCCACAGTCCTGCTTCCAACTGAAGGACAGGCAAGATCAAGGCTGGCTGCTCCATTTGGGGACCTCTAGCTAAAAGGAGCAAGCAAAGTAGGGGCTGCCAAGGGCAGAGGGAGCAGACAGCAGGAAAGGAGCTCACGGCATGGGGCTTCCTTTGGGGGTCAGAAAATATTCCCCAATTATGTAAGGCTGGTGGTTGCCTGGCTTTGTGAATTGCACAGGCTGGGCTCCGAGTGCAGGTTACAGGCATGCACCACTATGCCTGGCTGTACTCAGGTACTTTAAAGCACCAATGCCCAGCACTATGCAAATGCTATGTACCTAGTTGTTACGCTGCATTATTTAGGGAATGGTGCAAGAAAGAAGGTCTCACATGGTCAGGACAGATGCAGTATGGTCTGAATATTCTGATCCATAGTTGGCTGATTCTGTGGAAACTCAACCCACTAAAGCGGAAGCCTGACGCGGCGTCATTGCCTCTGCAGTTTATAAAACTTTAATCTGACTCTGGGGATACAGCTTGATTTTCAAAGGGATTAGTGCATTTAATCTCCTTCACATCACTGTGGACCTTCCCAGAAAGGACCAGGTTTTACAATCCATGACTTGGTGGTTTTTAGAATATTCACTCAAGCCCACCAAGTTTTACAATCCATGACTTGGTGGTTTTTAGAATATTCACTCAAGCCCAGCCTGTGGAATTCAGCAACTTAGTGAGACCTCGTCTCAAAGGAAACAATAAAAAGATGTAGCTTAGAGCAGAGGCTCTGAATTGAGTTCCCAGTACGAGGACAGATGCAGGCATGTGTCAGTTATTGCACTGGATGAAACTGACACAGCTGTGTCCACCTAAGAAAGGTGGCTTCGTTAGCTGTCTGGGTGCGTCCTGCTGTGGCACAAACTGGGTCTCACTGCAGAAGAGCACTGGTCAGTGAATGCTCATGGAGCCCCTCTGGCCATGCCATCCCCTGCAGCCCTCCAGGGAAGGGCCTGCTTTACAGAGCCCTGGGTGGAGTGTGGTGGGCCACCTTGCCCACTGGGCATGCGGGAGCAGTCTGTGGCCATCTCTGCACTGGACCCTAGAGCTCACTGTCCAACCAGTAAAATATGGAGACCCTCCACTCATCACAGCAATGTGTCATCCTAGAGTGACTGTTTTTGCTGTGTGTTCTGGGCCTGATGGTTCACCGCAGTGATGACAGGATCCCAAGAACCCCAGGCCAAAGGGTCAGCTTCCCACCGCTCTCTGTGAGACAGAACAATGAAGCAAGTGTCCAGCCTGGAACCTATTGTCCCGATTTCCGAGTCACACTGGTCAGAACCACACACATGGCCTGCTTTGTTCCCAGGCTTCTCTCCGTGGTCCCTCCCTGTGGGTCACCTGTAGTCAGAACATCATCCTCCGGACAGCGTGCAAAGGAAAACAAGGACAGGCGCTTGTCCTAAGGCTGGCACTAGCAGAGGGCCCCAGCACACAAACAGGCTTCTGAACGTCTCTATTCTGGGGATCTGTAAGGTGTCAGGCTTGCTTTTTCAGTGGCCAGGGCTGGACCTGGTTCCCAGTGAGCTCTGTGACCTCAGATGTTAGCTGGAAACACAGGAGCCTGTGGCCACAGAAAAGCAATCAATTTTATGGCAGACCCTCGTTCAAATTCTGCATCTGCTGCTTTGTACCAATGGGGCCTGGAACATACTACCTATTCTTTCTCGAGTCAGTTTTCTCAGCTAGCAAATCAGAACAGAAAATAGCATTTATTTTAGGAGGGCAGTGGTGAGAGGAGAGGGCTTATTTCCTGGCATGGACCTGGAACATGGTAGGAACTCAGTGAATGATGGTTCTTTTCCCATCTTGCCTCAGTCCAGTCAACCTAAATCCTAACACAACAAAATCCTAACACAAAAGCTGGACTGAGGCCAGATCTGCGGCTCCTGAGCTCAGGGACCCTGGCATGTGGGTGCTGCATGGAACCTACCTCTCAGGAGCTTGATGACAGGCTCACGGTACTCAGTATGCGCCCGAGCCACGCCCCTCCTGCTTCTGTACTCTCCCCTCCTGTGGCTTAGGCCCAGCTACCTGGTGTCCTGACCTTGGAGCTCTTTGCCACAGGTCCAGTCTGAGAAGGCTGTGTGTTTCCAGACTTCTTCCAGTCCTAAGTGCAGCAACGATGCTGACAAGAGCATCTGCCCCCTGCTCTTCCTGAACCAGAGGGCTCACCCAGCACTACCATGTTGCCAGGCATTCCACGTGTCCAGCCTCGACTCTTCATGGCTTCTGTCCCTTCCCAGTCAGCCCAGATATGGAGCTGCTGGAGACAGAGCCCGAATGCCCACCACCCAGTTCTGGGCACCGTTACTTGGTCCTGTGGGGATGGAGAGCTCCAGCCTATGTGCTCGCGGCTTCCTCCTTTCCTGTAGAACACTGGTGAGCATACACGGCCCCCTCCTTCCCAGGGGACCAGCTCAGCCTCCCTCTGACTCTGGGGATACAGCTTGATTTTCACAGGGATTAGTGCGTTTAATCTCCTTCACATACTGTGGACCTTCCCAGAAAGGACCAGGAAGGTCAGAGGGCAGCAGTGCATGGCAAGGCAGCAGGCGAGCAGCCCAGCATGGACCCTGTTTCCAGTGGCTCCAAGTGCCCTGTTCCCTGATGCCACTGTGCCTTGGCACTTACGGCTCTCTCTACTGGGAGACCTGAGCCTTCTCCTGCCTGATTGGCAAACACTTGCTTCTGCCTTTAGCCCAGCACTCCTGCAGGGGTCTCCCGCAGACAGTTAGAGGACACACACCTCTCTTCAGCCCAGTTAACAGGGCACTGGGTAAATGTTTCCTCAGTGCCTGCTGCATGTGCTGGGATCTCTTGCACGAGACCCCACCGGCCACCTGTGAGTGTGCAGGGACCACGAGGCAGGGCACTTGCAGAGCTGACTCTGGAGCCTCAGGAGAGAACCTGGGCTCCCTGAGCCACAGACCTCAAAGCCTTGGGGAGTGGTGGGTGCAATGAAAGGATGTGCGAACCTGCCTTCCCACCCAGCTGGTGCTTGCTGGTGAAGTAACCTAGGGTAAATGACCCAAGTTTTCTACGTCTCACTTTCCTCCTCTGAAAAATGTGGATAATCCCAAGTACCTGTACTTTACCCAGAGCCATGTGTTCAAGGCTTACCCCCAGTCTGGCTCTATTAGAAGGTGGTGGAAACTTTAAAATGTGGGTTTAATGGAAGGTTTAAGTCACCAGGATGCATCCTTGAACAGGGCATGGGTTGCTGGTCTCTTCCACTGTTTTGCAGTTTCTGGCCATGAGACAAATGGGCCAGCTCTGCCTTGCATTCCTGCCATGAGGTGCTGCTCACCACAGAACCAAAAGCAACAAGGTCACCTGGTATGGAATGAAATGTGTAAAACAGTTGGGCCTGCATGAACCTTTCCTCTTTTTAAGTCATTTCAGATATTTTACTACAGTAATGGAAAGCTGACTAATGCTTTATAGGGCTGTTGTGATTGAATGAGTCCAGTGCTTGTTTGACATGTGCCTGGCCTGGGGTGATAGCAAGTTAATTACCATGTTAATTACCACACTAATTACCATGATAATGTCATTTCTTGCCTCTGTTTCCAGAAGAAAATGAAGAGCTTAGACTAGGTGGCTGTGCTGTTCCTTCTACAGAAACCAGAATGTAAATAAATGCTTTGAGAGCAGGACTCACGAGGCCCTAGATTTCCTGGTGTGGGTTTGGTAAATGATGAGGTTTGGAAGCTGGAGAACACTTCCAGAGTTCTTCAAGAAGAAAACAATGCTTTGTAGGGTGAGTTTCTTAGAACAAGTAGGGGCTTTAAAGTTGTGCACATTCGGAAGTCATAGGTATAGGCAAAGACTTTCTGAACAAAACTCCAATTGTATGAGAAATAACACTGCCAGCTGTTTGTCTCCCACAGGACTAATATCTCAAATATACAAAGAATTCAAAACATTAAGACCACCCCAAATAAAAGACTCAAACAA